TCCTACTGAGCCGATTGTTGAGCAAAGTCGACCCAGCTGGTCTCCCACAATGACTTGATGAGCCCCGTTGTTATGTAGTGCAATAGCTGCACACTTCCGTTTCCCCGATAGAAGAGCGTCCTCATCAGTCATTCCCATCATATACTTCTCCTCGGTCAATAGCCTTAAAGCCAGCAATTTCTATAATGTGTCTAGTCTTCAATAACCTGGGTAGCTAGTTAAGCCCAAACGCCTTAGCTTCAAGGTGTAACTCCACATTATGGTACTTTGCTTTCAGTCTAGCAAGCAAAATTTGTGCTCGCTTACAACTGACTGTATGCCTAAGACTAACACCAGTCTCAGAGCGGAAAGCGGCAACAAGTTTGGCTTCCCTCTGACTGACGGACTATTCGGCAATGACAGGTCTACAAATGACGTGCATTTCAGTGAAGATAGAGTAAAGGTGAATATTGGGGGCGCATGTTCAGCACAACTCTTCACAATAGTGAACACTGCGATGGAAGCAGGGAACTTAGGCACTACACTTTAAAGGTGAACTTAGCTATCTTTTGCCAACCACTGAGCGCCGCAACGAATAAAAAGCAGTTATTGAGCTACGCGTAGAGATGATCACAAATTATCCAAAACACAAGGTGGATTCAGTCTAAGGTGCTAGTTACAAAACACTACTAACTTAGTGACAAATCTGTTAGTTGCGCATTTAGATCAACAACAAACAGCGGCGGTTTAGCGCTCAAGCAGCCAACGCTTACGAAACCTGAAGGCGTAAGTCCAAACGCAGAACTGACAGTATCTTGAATTCCAGGTTAAAGAAACATATGTCAGACGGAGTTCAATTTAAGTTCAACCATCCCTCGTTGAATATCCCGCGCTCGTGTAGGCAGCCGGCGTCGTCAATAGACAGACACAATTTGCTAACCTGTCATCAGAATAACCCCGGTCAGGCGTTCCGGATTTTATTGCACCACCTTATTTCACGTTCTTGGCGATTCACCAAAGCCGTGGGGACAGGCCAAGTAAGATTTACCCTGTGTGTGCATGAACGATCGGTTGTCAACCTTCGGTTTCCGTGGTCCTAAGGCCATCATCCTGGTCAGCTTACGTACGTGGACATCGTTTGGCATTGTGGTGTTGTCACATAACGGTCTCTATTGCTAGTTAGTATTGTCCTCGCCATCGAGTGGGGATGTCTCAACGCACGTTCGCTTAGCAGTCACTGGACGAGTTTATGCTTCTGATTTGCTGCCTGGCTTGTATCTGCGTGCGACATCACTCTACGTGTTGGAGCTGTTGTGTGTCCAAAGCTTGCCCATGCATTTGTCTACTTTACTTGTAGTTCTGTTTTCGAGGACACGTGCATTTTCGAAGCGATTTTTTTACAGAAACAGATTCCGGTCTGTGTGTAGGGCTGGCAGGTATTCGTTTGGGAGGTGGCTGCCTAAGCCACACACTTAACTTAAGCGCCAGCGCAGCACAGACTTTACACCGATCATGACTGTGAATCTCGATTCCACTAGACCAGCACACACAATCGGTCCTGCTGCATCCAGTGTAATCGCTAGGATAGAATTAGGTGAGCACATCTGGTTGTATCAGAGCGTATAGCTAACAGCTCGACATCTCTTTGAAGACAAATACTGTTGAAGAGATCGTCCTATTTCACCAATTTTGTGCAACATTATTCTGTGCTTCGACATGTTCATTTGTGGTGTCTGGTGGGTATTGGAGCCTTACAGGAGAGAACTGGCCAATCTGGATCTACTGGACAAAGTCCAGTTGGTAGAATCAATTACAAACGCAAATAAGTTGTTCTTTTTTGACATTTGTATTGCTACATCATATTGCAAAGTGCTGCTCCAGGACCACCAACCTGCAACTCACACTAGATGTTTTACAATGAGGAGTCGGAGATAGTGTTATATTGCTTAGCCTATGTTAGCAGCTGTGGTAAAATTGACGAGTGCGGGACCCCCGAAATCAGTTCAGGCTTTGAAAGAGCTAAATCTCACACTCCACGTCTGTCACAATTCTGGGGCCAGCGAAGAAATCCCCGTGTTCACGGAAAGTGTGTACGGTGAGCGCCTATGGAGTAACAACACCTGACTATCTCGGTCCAGTTATCTCACGCATATCCAAGCTTTTGACAACAGTAGTGTACTAAGCGTTAGTTGTGCTAGATGGCACTATCGTGTCAGCGGAAATGAGGCGCACAATTGAATACTAAGTGATGGTGTTCAGTCCAATTCGCCGAAGCAACTAGCAGGATGGATCAAGCTGTGTTGATTTGAGCGCGTGTCGATTATGCCCTCCCACTAATTTACGAGTACGGCTTTGTTCTGTTGGTCGGATGCTGCATGGCCAAAAACAAGGTCAAGGTAACAAAAAGTTAAGTCAGCAACCACTAAACCGATCAATGTTACTATACCTTACCAGTACCCTTATGCCGCGTCATGTGCGTCGTCCGTGCCACTAGAGGACATGACACGTACGCGGAATTAACGACATGTTCATATTCATGTCTCTGTCAACATGTCTATGTTGTACATGTTACGTAAATCATTGTGGGGTCTGCTTGACAGTGAGGAAGACCAGTGAGCCGCAGTGAGTACTTCTTGCCAATACAGTCTTATTTGCGCACGATTCCCACATATGACCGTATGGTGCTCATAAGGCAACAGTAACTTGATAATAAACGTTCCCACGGAGGTTACATTTAACGTCAGAACGCCTTTTGTTTATCCCAACTAGTAGGTTCATCATATAAGCGACATTCATATGATATTGAAATGCACACAAAATACATGAATAAGCCAGTGTCCGACTGGTGTGTGGCGTCAGCTTTGTGATCCACCGGTCATCGTAACCCAGGATGACCACGCAGTACCCAAGCCGACGCGCTACTGATCATGATCTCTGGGAAGTGACGCGTGGGTACGACATACCGGTGTACTGCTGGTGCCTATCATTATCCTTTCTGGCACGCGCTGTTCCGATGACTAGCCACAAGATCTGTTTAATGCCCCACATTGTGTGGGATCCAACTCTACGGAAACTGAACTCAGTGCACTGCTTTACTTCGCCGAGGCTATGAATTCCAGCAGGTTCGTACACAAATTTTTAGTTGGTTGCGTCTCTTCTTGTTAAGTAAGGAAATAAATTAAACAGCCAGCCACCGGTCTACCTGGACTTCCCATCCTGCCTTTTTGTGAAGCATCTAATCAACTAGTCAAATGAGTTTAAGCAATCGGATAATCTCACTTCTGCGAAATGGATCGTCGCATGCATCATCTCTCTTTCCGGAGTTCTATGCCCTTGTGTACTCCAGATAGACAATTGTTAACTCGATTCCGCTCCAGCCAATGATCGGGCCTGGGCGCATAAAGTCGGATTAGTGATCTTTCTTCCGTCCAGATCTTGTTTGCAATCAGCCAATGTCAATGAATAGAAAATTATGCACGATGATAAAGGGACCGATTGGGAGACACCACTACTGTTGCCTAGTAGACCACCCACCCAACCATAATGTAAATGACCACCTACTTCTACCCTGTGACACTGAATTAGGGTGAGATAAGTTGGTTGCAGTTGGCATGTCGTCAAAACGGAAGCCCAAGATCGAGTTGCTAGATATGTTCCAGTAGCTGCTGATCAGTATACACAAAGCAAACTGATGGATATCATGCAAACTGTCAGAGTGAAATTAAATAAGCATGTATGGGTGTGGTGATTTGGGTGTCAGAAACCTGTGCAAATCATGCGAGTGCTAACACAATAAACTCGATCTACTCGCATAGCAACACGCTGGAAGTCCACGGATGAGCAACTTGCCTTTCGATGGTCATCGAATTTGTGTCCATTCTTTCTGGGGACCGAGAAATTCGATGCCTTTAAGAATGTAAAAAAGTGGTGGATGCAATAACCGAATCGCGCACGCAATTGCTTCAATTCATAGTGTTTCACAATTCTCAAAACGGCAAGTGTGGAAAAATTGGACAGGCCGCATGCGTGCCATCAACATATGTTTGGTATTCCCTTTTAGTAAGGACTTATTATTGTCTCCTTCATTCTCTCTGAGATATGGATAGCCAATTTTTAAAGCCTCATGCATGGTAATTAGTACAGATCTCAGATAGAAGATATAGGCTGCATAAGTTTATATCGCGTCTGATCTCATCAATCACGAGTTAATAATTGCATGAAAAACGCACCTCGTTCATTACTATGCACTTTATTACGACTCATCATCAGGTCAATCGCGTGATCTTGCCTAAGGTGTGAGCAGATACCCTGAAGTGGATAATTCTGGCCGTCAGTGAAGCCTTTGTGATAGAGGCGAATCGTCTGTTGTTGTGCGCACAAAAACAACTGACGCAAATTCTAACAATACATTCGTTTTGGTTGCGTAATGTACACCAGTCCCACTGTTCTTTAACTGTTTTACTAGAAGAACATATGTTGCCGTGTATGTGCCTTATTCATGTATTGCACTGTAACTAACGAGCGAAATCCACATGTAAAGATATCACCACTTATATTGCCGCTCTGCGTCGATATAGTGGCTGAAGAAACTATGCTTTTCAGAGTATTTACCTAAGTATTTTGGGTCAAATTTTAAGTAACTTTATATGACAAACTGAACAACTGTTACACTTGGGCTTTCACAAAACGTATCCACGTAAGAATAGTTTCGCCGGTTGAAAAAAGTCCTTTTAATCTCAGATTTGGCATATCTGACTTTTATTAAAGCCAACCACTATTATGCATCAGCATGATTAATTAGTCGCTCTAAGCTTGCATTCTCAGCTTAACGCCGTAGGTTCCATGAATGACTCTATTTTCTTTTTTTATTGACAATATTTCTGTGTAGCTAAGCTCGCCACATCATACCTTTGTCTGCCTTTGCTTATGCCCGACGCTCAAAACAATCAGCGAATAAATTACCTTAAGTTGTAGCTAGTCTGGTAAACGCTACATATATGCTGATCTTTTGAATCCATCAGATTTGCAATCAGACGCCAGTTCAGTGAAAAACTACAAGGATAGCGATAAAGAAGGGCTGGAGGAAATCAACTCACCTAGGACGCAATCGAAAAGTTTACTGAATCCTGACATTTTGGACACCCGAAATGTGTTTCTTCTCACTTATAAGTTGGGGGAAGACAAGTGGGACATTGTGGACAATTTCAAGGCAAGTGGACTACCCAAGTTATTGTTCAGTTCATAACCTAAATGGAGCACTTTCAAGTTAGGCAGTCGTTTCCTGTGCCTTAGTTCTTATGATGACACTTCAATCCTGGTACCTACGAAACTCCATCCTGGCCTCGATTTGGTTTCATCGATGGGTATGTTTTGGTACTAAGCACTACTCCCTGTACATCTCAGTTTTTATTATGACGCACGCACTAGTGATGTTGATCAACTTGCCTTTACACTTGTCAACAGGATAAGAGCAACAACCAATAGCAATAGTAATAAAACTTATGATAATGACGTAATGTGAAGGGCCAGAAAACATTGTAAGACGTAAGAGTCGAATGCCAGCAAGTTGGAGACCAGGACAATAGTGCCATTAGCTTCATGACATCGTCATATCCACTATGCATTCAACCACTGATGTGCGACTGACTCCCAGGATCCTAGCTGGGAAGATGATCGGAACTAACACAGCGCAAACATTCCCTGTGTTTCCTCGCTCAGTCGCTCGCGCAGTCAGTTAGCAGGTAGGCAGCAAACGTGCTCAAGCCAACGAAGGTTATTGGAGCTTAACAGACCGGAACCGGAGGGTTTGTTGCCCAACACGAAACGGCAGACTGCCGTATTATTCCTTCGGTTATCTTAGTAGACGGGGGCAACACTATAAACGCAGCACTCTCCTAACCTGTTCACTGAGTAGTGGATGGGTCCCAGAGCCATGCAACAACACTGGCCATAACGCAGTGTTGTGTAGACACTTCCGTTGGCCGATACGCTTGTATCCAACCGTCTCCAAAAATAACCGAAGTTTGGAAAGCCAAAACAGTCAGACCGATTGGTGCACTGAATTTTTCGCTTGTAAAACTTTACTGGGTGACACGGCTACCTAGATTAGCAAATCGATCGACAAGTTAGAGCAATTGTTAGTTGTTGGCAATGACAGGTATTGAGTTGACTGTGATGGTAAGACACTACATTTAGATGCCCGTTGCATAGCGATCGGTCGAGCTTAACGATTTTGGGCCAACAGTATGGAAGCGGGTCGATCGCTGCAGCGGCGAACTGAAGGTTTGCATGCAATCGATTTGGATCGACATTGAACGAAACTCGAACGCTGGCTGAGAATGTAATAGAAAGGAGATTTGTTCTGCATCTGTGAGTGATTCTAATTGACTCGAGATATAAAATGAGTTGCGTTCTATGAATAATGAATTTCTGATCGAGGCCCAGACTTGGACTTTTTCATGAACGGAGGGCCACTTTACATGGCGACAGAGGACAAGAAGACACGCCGAACCCCGCATGCGTTTGGTGGACAACCAACGATTCCGCTGCCAGCTCCGTTGCAAATGACCGAGAGTTCGTTGCCGGAAAATTGGAGAATATGGAAGGCGAAGTGGCTAGACTTTGTAACACTGACTCAGTTGGATTCTCAGCCAATGGCCTATCAACTGGCGATGTTCAGGCATGCCATTGGAGACGAAGCCAGGCGGACGCTGCAAACGTTGGATCTCAGCGATGGAACTCAGGAGATGGAGCTGGATGAAGTAATACGCAGATTCGGCGAGTTTTGCGAAGGTTACACAAACGAAACTTACCAAAGGTATCTGTTTTTCAGCCGAAATCGCCTGCCGGGTGAATCAATCGACGCATACATCACGGAGCTGAAAATTCTGGCGCGGGATTGCAATTTTTGCACCTGTTTACGAGATTCGCTGATCCGCGATCGAATTATAATTGGCATAAAGAATGAGGAACTTTCCAGACGCCTTTTGCGACAGCGAAACCTGTCTTTGGAACATTGCATCGATATCTGTTTTAGCGAATCAAGGACGGCTCAACAGTTTCAGCAGCTCAAGATGGACTCCACGACGGATCTGTTTGCAGTATCCCGAGGCCGAGAAATTGTATCGAAGTCATCGAGCGCGAATCAACCCAAATGCCAGTTTTGCGGCCGCTCACACCCAAGGCGCAAAGAGGATTGTCCAGCATGGGGCCGAACCTGTATGAAGTGTGCGAAGAAGAACCACTTTGCACGTTGTTGTCAGGCAACCAAAGTCGACTCAGTCGGGCAGGACGATCAGGAAGAGCCGCAGGAACTGGCTATTAACAACATGACAGGACGTGAGAGACCAGTCTGTGTATTCGCAACGTTGCTTATTCAAGGGCGTCCGGTGCGATTCCAATTGGATTCAGGAGCAAGCGTGAACATACTTCCTCACAAATACTGTCCCGATGCAGAATACCGCCAAATACAGACACAGCTCAGAATGTGGAACGGATCAAAGTTACAACCGAAGGGCTGCGTTACCATGAAGGCCATAAACCCGAAGGATGGCTCCGAGCATTTACTTGATTTTCTCCTGGTATCAGGAGATTTAATGCCCATCCTGGGCCTTGATTCCATTCAGAGTTTGGGTTTTGTTTCTTTTAATCATGATCGTTTTGTTCACTCGTGCGAAGTCGGTACAGAGATCGTAGACAACTATCCCAGTGTGTTTGATGGTACCGTGGGAAAATTCCAAGGCGTAGCTCACCTGTCGTTAAACGAGTCCGCCAGACCAGTAGCACTACCAGCGAGAAAAGTACCTATCGCTTTGCGTGAGAAGTTCTTAGACGAGTTGCAGCGTTTGATCAGTTTAGGTGTGATTGCCAAGGTCGATGAGCCAACCGATTGGGTCAGTCAAGTCGCGATAATCACCAAGAAGTCAGGCGATTTGCGTGTGTGCATCGACCCTAAGCCGCTCAACGCCGCACTCAGGAGAGAGTATTTTACACTACCAACGCTAGATGACGTCTTACCCGAGTTGTCCAAGGCCAGATTGTTCACGAAGGTCGACCTCGCTTCCGCTTTCTGGCACGTCCAGCTTGACGAAGAGTCCAGTTATTTAACCACGTTCGGAACGCCATTTGGACGGTTTCGGTGGTTGCGCTTACCATTCGGTTTGAAAGTGTCCAGTGAAATTTTTCAGAAACGATTAATGCAGGCCCTAGACGATCTACCCGGAGCTATTTGTGTAGCAGACGATGTAGTGGTTTTTGGGGCGACTCTGGAAGAGCACGACCGTAACCTGAGCAGATTTCTAGAACGCTGTAAAGACAAGAATATCAGATTGAAACGTGAGAAAATTGAGTTACGAAAAACAGAGCTGGTGTTCCACGGACATGTTTTGAGCGCAGAAGGTCTAAAGCCAGATCCGGAGAAAGTTAGAGCCATAAAAGAGATGCCACCTCCGACAGATGTTAAAGCCGTGAGCAGACTAAACGGGATGGTGAATTACCTCAGCCGCTTCCTTCCACGACTAGCCGAAGTAATGGTTCCTATCCGAAAACTTACACATAAGGGCGAGAGCTGGCAGTGGAACACAGAACAGGAGGAGGCTTTCCAGAACATCAAACAACTGATCGCGTGCGCCCCTGTCCTAGCGTATTACGATCCGTCACTTCCCCTTGAGATCCAGTGTGACAGCAGCCAATTCGGTATCGGTGCCGTGCTAATGCAGAACGGGAAGCCCATCGATTTTCGCAGTCGGACACTAACAGAATCCGAGCGCCGTTATGCACAGATTGAAAAGGAGATGCTAGCATTGGTTTATGCCGTAGAGCGTTTCAACGATTACACTTTTGGTCGCCGGATCACTGTATTTACCGATCACAAGCCTCTGGTATCAATAGCCAATAAACCACTGCACGTCGTCCCACGCCGCTTACAACGAATGCTCATTCGGCTCCAGAAGTACGACCTGGACATCGTCTACCAACCGGGGTCGAGGATGTACATTGCAGACACACTGTCTAGGGCATATCTTTCCGATGTGACCGCAACGCAAGAAGACCAAGACATTGTCCATGTCACTCAGCTATTGGCCGTCACAGAGGAGCGTTTCCAGCAACTACTACGCCACACGGAAGCAGACGAGCTGTGTAATCGGCTCAAGGAAACGATACTGAAAGGGTGGCCCGATAGTAAAAACAAGCTGCCAAAGGAGTTGACTCCCTTCTTTAACTTTCGGGATGAACTTGTCACACAGGATGGGCTAATCTTCAAAGGCAACCGTATACTCGTTCCAAAGGCAATGCAACGACCCATGCTGGAGCTGATACACGGAAGTCATTCAGGAGTCAATGCTTGCGTGGCGAGAGCTCGAGAGCTAATGTTTTGGCCTGGAATGGCTAGTCAGATACGGGATCACGTTTCAAACTGCTTAGCCTGTCGAGCACATGATGTCCGCCAGCCGAAGGAGCCTATGATGCTTCGTGAGGTCCCGGAAAGGCCGTGGCAGAAAGTCGCCCTAGACATCTTTGCACATGACGGAAGGAATTACCTGATCGCTGTCGATTACTTTAGCGACTATTTCGAGATTGATGCTCTCACGTCTACTAGCACACAGGCCGTGATAAACAAGCTACGATCGCAGTTTGCGCGACATGGGATACCGGAAGAGGTAGTGTCCGACAATGGCCCCCAATTCAACAGCGCCGAATTTCGGAGTTTCAGCGAAAAGTGGGATTTCCTTCATCGTTTAACCAGCCCTTACCACAGTCAGTCAAATGGAAAAGCTGAGTCAGCCGTGAAGGAAGCAAAGAAGTTACTCACCAAAGCCAAGGAGACCAAAGAAGATCCTTACATCATGTTGTTAGAACGAAGGAACATGCCATCTGCCGAAATTGGATGCAGTCCAGCGCAACGTCTGTTTGGCCGTAGGACAAGAACCCTGTTGCCGATCGCCAATACTCTGCTGCAGCCTGAAATACCATCGCAGAGCTTGATGTATGAGCGCTTGCGTGAGCGCATGCTTCGACAAAAGAAATATTACGATCGCGGAACGAAGCAGCTTCCACGCCTGTTGCCCGGAGACGAGGTCTGGGTCGCGCCGACACCGGGAGCTAACGGGTCTTGGAGGAGAGGGCGAGTAGAAGGTCTCAAAGGCGAACGAAGCTACGACGTAAGAGTTGGGGATAGTCTATTTCGACGCAACCGGGTGCAGTTAAGGAGACAACGTGGTGAACAAGCACGGCATCGTGCGAAGCAGCCAACGCAGCCGGACATTTCGGTGGATACAGCAGCACACGACCACAAGACTACACGCAGTGGAAGGCGATACAGCGCTTACGCAATCGGACTACAAAAAAAACGAAAAAAGGAAGGATGTGATGGTAAGACACTACATTTAGATGCCCGTTGCATAGCGATCGGTCGAGCTTAACGATTTTGGGCCAACAGTATGGAAGCGGGTCGATCGCTGCAGCGGCGAACTGAAGGTTTGCATGCAATCGATTTGGATCGACATTGAACGAAACTCGAACGCTGGCTGAGAATGTAATAGAAAGGAGATTTGTTCTGCATCTGTGAGTGATTCTAATTGACTCGAGATATAAAATGAGTTGCGTTCTATGAATAATGAATTTCTGATCGAGGCCCAGACTTGGACTTTTTCATGAACGGAGGGCCACTTTACATTGACCACTTCCAGTAAACGTGCATTTTACTCTGGTGCTACAAAACCCAATCGAAGACATGTCATTGTATATAGCAGTGAAAACTGGTAGCTCAGGTTGTTCAGATGGCTGTTGAACTGCGCGCTGAGCTTGGCAATTTTGTTGCAACAAAATTGCCAAGCTCAGCGCACAGTTCAACAGCCACATGTCATTGTAATTAGTAATGATTGTACGTTTGCTGGGTTCGTCCCAAGGAAACTTCTACTGTGCACGCTGAGTGCCCGAGTACACGATTCCTGGTGTCTGCTCATTGTAGTACAACTTAGTTAGACACAGTAGTGTATATAGAGTAGATTACTATACCCTAAATGCCTAAATGAGTGTATTTACAGTCTTAATGCGCCCGCGCTTCGCAGATTTTAGGGATGGGAAGATGCAGCCACTTCAAAGACGAAGAGAAAGAAAAGAAAACGACAAAACCGCCGAATCGAACATGGTTATTCAGTTTCGGCAATGTGACATTCTGGTGTAATATCCTGAGCTGAATTAGCCCTGTCTGTGTAATCACTGTACCCCTGTAGATTGAATAACTGGTAAGTTAAAAGTCCGAAACCACTTGATAGAGTGCGAAAATAGTGAAGAATGCGGTCTTACACAACATTGATGTCTTACCTTAGTACATTTATAAGCCATATGACTCGCTGAGTACACTGGTAATTGCCGTGCAGTGTCATAGCACGACTTTCCTGCCATCTGGCCATATTTAACAGTGTTATGCCAGGTTTTAATTCCTTCATTCAGTACTACTTTCTATATATCTATGATAGGTCATACAACCGGTTGTACACCACTCCGCCTGGCCCACTGAAATCAAACGACTTGTTGTGCAATCCGCTCGCTGGCCAGATCCATCCTACTTGGAATCCTCCACAGGCAGAGATTCACAGCATGGATCGAAGCGTCTGAGTGGAGGCATGGTCAGGGGACGACGCACAGCAACAACTCCAATGCGCGAGTTTGAGCCACTGGAATTTACACGTTCCATCGAAAATTATTGCGGTGGCGTGTACTTCACTACCGAGGAGCTATGTCACTGCTTCCTTCTCGTCCTGGGCACCAAGGCGGAGAACTTTGTGGTTAACAGAGATGGGGGCCTGTACCGATCTCCGTTGTTACATCCTTATCTGAAAGTGAGGATACCAAAGCGCTCTTGTTTGGAAAATAAGCTTGCCTGCTTCAAGGTGAGATATATGCGATCACTTGCTGCGCATCTTTGCCCAGTCAGATGTATATGAAAGATAAAGGATGAAAAATATTCAGACGGTGTTTCTGTAGTGATGTTGGTGCATTCCCGCACGTTTATCTAGTGCATCAGTAGGTTCGACCAACGGATCGTGTAAGGCGAACGGAACACGCAGTAGTCGAAAACTATACCCATGGAATTGATAAAACACAAGGTAGCGAAGAGCACTCTTTTCGATAAATCTCATCAGGCGTTTACAATTATAAAATGGAAAGTTGAAGCGGGATAGGCTGGTGAAGCGCGACAAAGATTAGCGAATCAGAGCGAGGCAGAAAGTGAGCTGTCCTAATCGATAAATTGGTCGATCCACTCAAGCAGCGGCTACCACAGTATACGTAGGCAGACATAGATACACACACACACACGTATGCTCACGAGACATAGGACGTGCTTTTCAACTGATTGGGTGACGCACTCATCACCCGGTGGTTGTCAGCGTGTGAAGTGGAAGCTGTTTGGAAGTGTGTTAGCCCCAGGGCAGAAGGAGCGCTTGAATAAGCGCTCTCTGTTTGCATAGTTCAGGTTGTGTAAGCCTGATCGCAATGGCTTCGGCCGTCCGTAACATTCGTTTCCTAAGCCCCTTGGGGTAGCGTTTTGGAACAACATAAAACACTTTGAAAGCATCAGTAGCCTTGATTTGATGTCCACTTTCGACCAGATGTTCTAGGATAGAACTCTTGATGCAACCGACAGTACCTTTCTGCAATGCCGTGGGACAGTGCTCCGATATCCGTTTAGACAGACGCCTAGTCGTATGTCCGAGGTACTTCACACCACAGGTGCAAGTAAATTGATATAGAATATAAGATTCGGACTGGACCGGGAGTCTGTCTTTGAGACGTTGGGCAACAAACGGCACAGTTTCAGCAATGATGTGTGGATATGCAGCTGGAAACGTTCGAGCTACTGCAGCGGAAACTCTTTTGTTCAGCAAATCGAAAGCAATATCTCCCTTAAAGGGAACTGATAGAAACACATCTTTCTTGGGGACAGTTGTAACCAATTCATGATGAGCATGAATCACTGCGTGCTTTCGGACAAAATGAGCTGGATAACCGTTTAGTTGCAGCGTTTGGAAAATACGGTTCTTTTCGGCCTCCAAGGTCTCTGGGCTACATATTTTGGCAGCGCGAAAGTACAGGCAACGAACAAGGTTCCGTTTGTACTTAAAGGGTACAAAACTGCGAAAATGCGTGTATTGATCGACCCACGTCGTTTTCCGAAACACACTTCTTTCTAGTGAACCGTCTTCTTTTCTCCTTGGTAAAACGTCCAAGAAGGCCAGTTTACCATCACTCTCGATTTCACTGGTGAACTTCAAAGATGGATGTACACTGTTTAACCAGTTCAACAGGCTGGAAACATCAGTGTTTGAATCACAGACTATAAACGTGTCATCCATGTATCGACAATAGAAATCAAATGAAGAGATTATGGATTTTATAGGTCCATGTTCGAGCACAGCAAGGAAAATGTCGGCAAGGGTGAAAGAGAGCGCTTATTCAAGCGCTCCTTCTGCCCTGGGGCCAACACACTTCCAAACAGTTTCCACTTCACACGCTGACAACCACCGAGTGATGAGTGCGTCACCCAATCTATTGAAAATCACGTCCTATGTCTCGTGAGCATACGTGTGTGTGTGTATCTATGTCTGTCTGCGTATAGTGTCGTAGCCGCTGCTTGCGTGCATCGACCAATTTATCGACTAGGACAGCTCACTTTCTGCCTCGCTCTGATTCGCTAACCTTTGTCGCGCTTCACCAGCCTATCCCGCTTCAACTTTCCATTTTATAATTGTAAACGCCTGATGAGATTTATCGAGAAGAGTGCTCTACGCTATCTTGTGTTTTATCAACATGCAGTAGGCAGCAGAATATCTGATACAACAACTTCATTGTGTTTATGCAATAAGGGACATGGACTTTCTTGCTTTTGTGTATGCCATATACACCCTATAGTTTGCATCAACGGAGAGCATGTACGGGTGAGTTCGCTCTAGAAAAAATGAACAATGATTTATGCCGAATAGAAAAGCTGTTGTTTGACAACTCTTGCTGGAGGATGGGGTACAACTACAATATCAGCAAATGTGCCATTAAGTAACAGTAGTGTCAAATGCGAATCGAGTACAAGTAACAAAACAACACGGGGGGCAGTTATAGTTTATGTACCTCTTGAGAAATTAAGTACAAGAGTACTCACTCATGTCCCGACTCCTTACTTTTATGTGCAGTATAAATCCGGATTGAAGATATACTTTATATATTCCAAAGAAGCACAGCTTAGGCAAAGAAAGGATAGCGGTTAAGGGCAACATCCAATCGTTTTCGAATATATCAACTGTGGATGATGAAGCTGCTGCGTTTGGGAGAGATTCTCAGGATTTGCAAGCACGAGGAGAAAAATGATTCTGTCGGCCTTCTAGATGTCAATGCCTTCCACTCAGTTTCAGACAGTAACCTCTGAGTTTTGTGTTACAGCTGAGTTGTAGCAAGTGCCTGTATTTGTGATTAGAGTCACTAATCATTTGATACAGTAATATGAGTTCCCCGCGCAGCCTTCGGTAGTGACCACTGAAAACTCCCAGTGACTTTAGACTTTGCTGGTAGGACAGGTTGCGTAGAACATTAACATTTTTCTAGCGCTGTGTTATGGTGTCCCTACCACCATTAGATAGCGTTTCAATCAAGGTTACCAAGCTTGAATGGTGTACTCAACATGAGGATGCACGTATGAATTGTGCATCATCCGGAAGATAGATGCCTCAAAACGCCCCTAGTGGTAGAATGACTTGATGGTTTTCTGTTTTCGCGGCTGCTTCTGACTGTTTTGATCAGTTAAGGTCAATAAGAATGAGCCCACCAATGTCGCGTTTCTGGGAAGTGCTTTGTAATACATGTGGCCCAAGCCAATACAGTTAGCCATGCATATAAATTAATGGAACATCGCAAGATTTGTCTATATTGAATGTAGAGTATTATGAACTCAGCAGTCAGAAGTGGTATGTAGGGAGCGTTGGAGCTTTTCGTAGTCGTCCGGTTCCCTGGTTGCTCGCTAAAGTTTGATATTATCCTCAAGGAATAAGGAATCTGAAGTAAGTAACCTCGATAAATCATTTATGAAAATCAAGCATAGATGGGGCCCTAGCATCGAGCGCTGGCGTACATCGCACCCTACATCAATTTAATCGGACAGGGATTATCGTACTTTCACCTCCAACCGACGTTGGTGCAGGATATGTCCTGTTCAACGCAGGAGTTTGTCATCACTGCCTTACATCTAATGTTTATAGAGAGGAATTCATGGGTCTAAGCGATCAAATGCTTCTGAGAAGTCCAAGCACATGTCATCGACTCCTGCTCCACCATAAAAGGCTTCAGCCCAGCTGTTGCGCGTAATTATCAGATTCGTAGTACATGAGCAGTTTTCTCGAAAACTATGTTGCTCCGGGGATTTTAAGCTCTGGCTTTTTAAATCCTGTATGAGTGCACCCAAGATGAGTGATTCCCTAGGTTTGGAAAGTACAGGAAGCAGGGTCTTTGGACTGTAATGGGTTGAATCAGTGCAGGCACTTTCCTTATGAATAGGAGTAATGATTCCTTGCTTCTATATTGCTGGAATATGGTTCTCCTCTGGACAGCGCTGGTAGCATATAGCCAGCGATTCTGCCAGACCAGCGGCTGCTGTCTGTATGGTTTTCGACCGATTGTTATCCATACCAGGAGAGCTGTGGATATGCAGGGACTACGGCTTCTTTAGCACAGCTACTGCAGTAAAAGTGGTATTGTATATAATTGACAAGGGGACAATGAAACAGGGTTAAATATCACGCCCGTCACTCTCTGGAACGCTTGTGAGTAGTGGAGCCGTATCAATTCACCTGCTTCCATTGCTGATTGCGTGCACTCACCAGTCGTAGCCAGCGCCGAAATTCCCCGCTTCACCTCACCAAGGCCATTAATATGCCTGTATAAGAGTTTACGTTTCGTTCAAAATCGCTTCATTAACTCCTGCTGATGCGGCACCTTGTCCTCGTGGATCAAACTCACGCAGAATGTACGACGTTCCACATGTGTTGTTCGCAATTTGAAACCCGTGGAGTCATACTTAGGTCTCCATTCTAAGTCCCTCGAGGATATGTACTAATGTGGTCACAGAAATGAATTGCTTTTCCGTCGACAATTTAATTGTCTCTGCTCCGACGCGTTCTTTACCAGTGTGCTAAATGTCCTTGGGAACGTTCCTCGAGCGATAACTAGTGGTTATTCAGTTAAGAAGGTCTAAGAATTCTTTTTAGCAAGCGTGGATAACACGTTGTATTGCGTGAAAGTATATAATTTATCATCCTCTTCTTCAGGATCGGCAGCATAGCACATATAGCCAGCTAGTAGTAACATGGTCACTGAGATCTAACAGTGTGCTCTCTACTACTCCGTCAACCATAACTTTTTCGATTATGAGCACACGAGCTAGTATCGACGGCCTGTTAACAGTTCGAAATCCAGTGAGAGTGGTGACGTGATTTCAGAGACTGTAGCTGAAAACAGCCTTGAGACTGCGTGCCATTGGTTTCCACTACTTCCAGGTGGTGCACATTAAAGTCCCCTGCGATGAGAATGTGACTGTGTGAAATTTTCACAGTAACCTGAAGAACGTGGTTCAATTTGGAGTCCATTTCACACGTAGAGTTTGGTGAACGGGATATCACAGCTATAAGACATGTGTCTTTGTTCCGCAACCATAGTCGGCACCAAAACAAACCTAGGGCACCGATTTCTGGGTGGTCAAGAAGTTCACATTGGTGGTTAGCCTTTTGTGACAGAATCACACCACCGCCCCTTCCAGCTCTATTTTTCCAAAGCAGCAGCTTATCAGGTAAATTGACCTCAGAACCAACTATATCAAAGCTGAACCAAGTTTCCGTAATTACAATGAAAT